CCCCACCTTGTAGAGGAGAGTGTACATGGGCGTCTCGAGTCCCTCAGGAGTGCGTTGGAATGCGGACCTTCCCTCCTTGATGAGAGTGGCGATGGGGAGGCCGCCCTCCTTCTGCACCTGGGTCAGCATCGAGGGGCCCATGGTGACGGCGCGCTGCGCCAAGGCTGGCAACGACGACAGCAGACGGCTCGCCACCTTCAGCCACAAAGACAGACAGACACAGGCACAGCAACGAGCATGTACACACGAAGCAATACGTAACCGAGACAGTACACGAGAGCAGTTGGGAAAGATATGCATCCCTTCCTCCCTGTATGCGAGAAAAGCCCCAGGCAGGCAGGCAGGCATAGAGGCAGGGAGGCAAGGAATGCGGTCAGGTAAGTCACTCGCCAAGTACGCACACGCCATATGCACTAAGTACACCGATGTGTGGCATGTGCCATTCATCTCTCTATCACAGGCAGGCACCCCGGCAGGCCGACCGGCAGGCAGGCTGGCAAAAAAGTGTGTGTATGTGTGCGTGCGTGTGTGTATGCTAACCTCAGGGCCTTCTGATCGTGCTGCTGGCAGGATGTCCTCGACCACCTGCCGCCGCAAAGACTCGACATCCTCGCGCCTGACAGACAGACAGACACCCACCCAAACATCTCTCACGGCACGATAGATTCCCAGCCCTCCCCAGCTGTCTTCCCAGCTGGCTGGCTGGCTGACCTCGGAACAGCGTTGACGAGTGTGTCCCTGATCTCGTCTCGGATCTCAGGTGCCTCCTGCACCAGGTCACGAAGCAACAACTGACGCTGAGAGATCGGCGTGTCGAACTTCAACAGCTGCTCCAACTTCTCTTCCCACGTCATCGGCTCTGCAAGCGCACCACACAGCCACACAGAGCAACCACTGATGCGTGCTGTGCTGCCTGTCTGCAGTACTGCTGAGCAGTGAGTGCACTGGCCGACCTTGCGACGAGGGCTGGCTCTCTGCCCTCAGGCGTGTGCTGCGCAGACGCCTTGCAGAGGGCATTGCACGAGGGACCAACGACACAAAGCCTGAACGTGGAAGCAGAGAGGCAAAGGGAGGCAGATCTATGAACATCCACCACGACCAGTGTCACGTATCACCTGTGATAGATATGCTGGCCGCATCTGCGGCACAGGCGAGGAAAGTAACCAAGGGGATGAGGCGCTGCATCCTCGGCTTGTGTGGGTTAGAGCCGGCTTGTGTGGGTTAGAGCCGACCGATTGGGTGCTCCCTGAAACGCTGCCATGCCGCCTATCCGTGGATAAAGGCTCGCAAAGGGGCGCGATGCAAAATCGAGTGCGCGAAGCGATGAGAAGCTGAGTTGAGGATGGCTTCAGGCTCAGATGTGTCATGCTCCCCATTGAGGCCAGGCAGGCCACGCGTGTGTGCTACTGACGAGCACTGATGACTGACCTCCCGAGATACCTGCCGGCGGACGCGGGATGACATTGTCAGTCCTTGTGTGTGTGGTGTTTGTTGTGATCAGAGTCGCCAGGTCTCCCGTGTGCCCCTCCCGCTGTGCAGACAGGGTCGCCGGTGAAGGTGGAGACCACCGCAGCCGCGGAGGGTGTGCCGCGAGGAGGAGGAGGTGTTGGTGTTGCAAAGGGGTATCCTGCACCACCTGGACCGCCATACGGGTGAGAGAACAACAACACAGCACAGCACAGCACACGGAATGGGGGGGCATTGATTGACAGACTGACTGATTCAATGTAATGTTCCTCTCTCTCTGCGTGTCTGCCTCACCACCGCTTGCAGTTCGAACGACTGGAAGCCTGAGGAGGATCAGCTGCTGCTGAAACTCGCCAAAGAGACTGGAGGTGGGTACATCGCTGCCTTGGTCAATGTGTGTTCAGCTGGTTTCCTTGATCTGCACATGCGTGTTGTGCGTTGTCAGGTCGTTGCTGGCGTCAGATAGCCGAGGCGTTTCCCAACCACTCGGACATCGAGTGCATGATCAGATGGAAAAACAATCTGTCGGGGCTTGACGGCAAGGTGAGGATCGACCGACCGACTCACCGACCTGCTGATGGATGGATGGATTCATGTGATTGTGTGTGTTGTCTGTCATCGATGCGGTTGTCCATTCGTTGATTCGTTGATTGAACAGGGTAGCTGGACCAAAGAGGAGGATGATTTGCTGTATGAGTTGGTGCTGCAGTATGGCCCATCCAAGTGAGTGAGCCAACGATCGAAGCGAAGCAAGCCACAGAGAGATTGGGACGTGGATTGGATTGTCTGTCTGTTCTGTGTCGTGTCGTCGGTGGTGTTCGCGGTGTGTGTGTCAGTTGGGCCGCTTTGTCCAAGGAACTGAACGAGAAGCTCGTCTACAGGCGACGCTCTGGTGAGTGAGTGCGCCACCTGCAGGACTCTACACATCTGACCTGTCCAGACACAATCAATCGTCGCTCCTTCATTCCCTTTCTGCCTGTCTGTTGATGTGTGTGTGCAGCCAAACAGTGTCGTGAGCGGTGGATCAACCACATGGACCCAAGCATCAACCGGTACGCACACACAGGCCGGACAGACGGACGGACAACAATCGCTCCATCTTTGTCTGTGTGTGTGTTTTGTGTGTGGTATCCTGTCTGTGCATCAGGGATGCGTGGACGCCCGATGAGGATGACACCTTGATGAAGAAGCAGAAGGAGCTCGGCAACAAGTGGACGGAGATATCACGACACATACCTGGTAATTAGCCTGCCCACCAACGACAATCTGACACACACCAGCCCCTGTGTGTGTGTGTCTATGTCCGTTGTGTTGTGTGTCCTTCAGGTCGTACGGAGCTGCAGGTCAAGAATCGTTATCGCGCGCTGATGAAGTTCGGTTCACAGCGGAAGCCGCGGGAGCCACGTGACCCCAACAAGGCCAAACACACCGAATCGCAGCCGTCAACCAGCAGCCGCCACTCGTCGGAGACCAGCAGACAGCCATCCTCACGCAGCGCTGCACCAAGCAGCAAAGATGGTGAGTGAGGAGGGAGGGAGGGAGGCTGGCATAGTACGGACTATGTGTGCATCTTGTCTCTGTGTACGTGACGTTCATAGGTGCGTCGCCAAGCCACAAGCGTCCTTGGGCCGACGGCTACCCAACCCCCGCTGTGAGCCAGCCCGCCTCATCCCCTGCCCCCCTCCCTCCCCCACACCAGTACGGCAGTTTCCCATCCACCCACTGGCAGCCACAGCAGCAGCAGCAGCAGCAGCGGCCGCCCCGCCCATCTGACGCTGCCTATGCCGATCCCAACGACCCATATCGGCAGTACGGCTACGCTGCGGTCAATCCTTCGGCGTCTTACTACTCTCCGTATGGGCAGCCCACGGGGGGCTACTACGGCAGCCCACCAGGGGGCTACTGCGCTCATCGGCGGCACGACCATGGGGGGTCGGGGGCGGAGCGGCACCACTCCTCCCACCACCATCATCATTCCCACCACCATCGGTCGTCTCACGGCCACCATCGGTCGTATCACGGGCACCACCACCAGCACACGAGCCTGCCCTACCCTTACCCCACCTACAACCCGGCATCATCTGCAGCGGCGGCCCACCAGTACTACTATGGGTACGGCCAGCGGCCACAGCAGCAGCAGATGGACGGTGTGATGGGAATGGGGATGGGCGGAGGTGGGGACGGGATGTCCCTGTCGCCGTCTGCGGCTCGGGGGGGGTCAGTCGAGTACTGGTCTGAGCTGCTGGAGCAACGGCTGGCTGCACTCAAGAGGGACCAGGAGCACCACCTGCACCTCAAGGAATCCATCCAGAAGCAGACACACCAGCTGCAGGAACTCGTGCAGGTACGTGTGTGTACGTGTCGGCGCCTTCTTCATGTGTATGCATCCCTCTGTGTCTGTCTCTGTTGTGTGTTGGACGCACCAAACCGCTCAGGATCGTCGATTGCCCGGCCACCACGACCACCACGCCCCGTCGAGCTCCCCTCCCGCCAGCGACCCCTCCAGTGACCCCAAGCGCACCTCGCACCCCACCCCGTCGGCAGACGCCCACGATCAGTCGTCGAAGCGCATCCGCGTCCACCATCACCATCATAGCTACCACAATGGCAACGGCAGCGAAGAGTCCGATATGGCGGACTCGACCGTCACCACAACCACCATGGCCACCAGTGGGGACGGGAAGGATAAGGAGGGTGGTGTGCTCAAGATGCGGCTGGTGCAGAATGGGGCGGGTGGTGCTGCTGCGGGCGAAGGGTTAGAAAGGGTGGGCCAGCGGTGAATGACACGGCTGCCTGCTGGTTTCGTTGACGGCTGGCTGGCTGGCTGGCTGGATGGGATGCTGTCTCTCCGCATTTTTCTCGTCCCTCGTATCTTGTCTCTCTTGTCTGTTTGTCTCTCCTGTCAGCCAGCCACTCACCCACTCACTCACTCTGTGGTGTAGAGCATCCCCCATCCATCCATCCACCCCCCTTCATCTGATCATGTTCACCGCCACGCCGGCTCGCCTTAGTGGAGGGGGCCGGCGTACGACACACATGCATACACACGTGTGTGGGTGGGCACGTAGAATATATGAACCTTGCCCATCCATCCACCACTTTTGAAGATTTGTGTGTCTGCCTGGCTGGCTGGCTGGCTGGCTGGCTGGTCGGCTGGCTGTTCGGGGTGCTTGATGGCCCATCTGACCAACTGGTGATGGATAGCTGTCCATTCGCGGCGGCACAGCCGACCAAGTTGATGGAAAGCAAGACAGTGGAGGGCACAGCACAACAGACACTTCAGACCCATACACAGCAGACAGGCTAGGAAGTGTGTGTATGTCCATCTTTCTGTCTGTCTCGTCTCACAGTCTGCCTGGTCGTGTATAGCGCTTTTCGTGTTTCATATATGCATACAGCTACATACCTACATACCTACCTGGATGGATGGATGACTGCATACGCGCAGAGAACTTATCTATCAGTCGTCAGTTTTTTTTGATCACTGACTGACGACAGGTCGCTAGTCAGTCAAGAGTGTCATATTTTGAAAGAGCGGAGGAGAGCGGCAGGGGCGGGGGAGCCTTTGCTGCCCGCTCGGCCATGGTGTTGTTGGGTTGAGAGCGCTACTGCGCCGCGCGGGGCCGTCTGTCTGTCTGTCGGCCTCTCTGTGTGTGTGAATGTGCGCCGTGCGTGTGTCGCCTGAGAGAGTGTTTTCCTTGCTGTGTGTACGATAGACACTAGCTAGGCACACACACATCCAGCCATCCATCCATCTCGATGGATGGCCGCATGGCATGCACTCGTGTTGGTGAGGGGAGGGGAGGGAGGGGAGGGACTGAGGAGACATCTGACGGATGGAAGAGGCAATTAATGCAGCGTTTCATCCACCATCCCTCTTGCTTTTCCGTCCGTCCGTCCATCTTGTTCACCCCCCCACGCACATACATACACACATGCGATCAGTCGACCACAGCAGCCAGCCCGACCCCTTACACAGTGAGGGCATGTAATCCCATTCACGCCATCCTCCATGAATATATATAACGAATGGATCATCACATCATGAGTCATAAAATGTTCGCATACAATGAAATGACCCCGTCGACCACTCAGACACACAGGACAGGCGAGGCGTGTCGTGTCGTGTCGTGTCGGCCGAGGGTTAACTAACTAATCATTCAGCCATCCAGCCAGCCAGCCATCCATGCCATCCACTAGCATCACCACAACACACACATCACTACGACACGCCATACATCGCTCTCTGTCTCTCTGCCTGCGTCGGTCACTCTGCGATCTCGAGTGTCACGTCTTGCGTCGCAAACAGGATGGTCGGGATGTACTTGCCCGCAGGAATCGCTGTCCCTGATAGTCACACAGACAGACAGACAGACAGGCAGACAGACAGGCAGACAGACAGGCAGACAGACAGGCAGACAGGTGTCTGCTATCTGCCTCGCGGCATCAACCAACCATTTGAAAAGGGCGCTCACCTGATCTGAAGCAGCACGCGCCAACGGAACGACCATCTGCAAGAGGACACACCCATGCCGTCCGTCTGTGTGCCCTCCGGTGTGTGGGGCGGGCATGCTTGTCTTGTTTGCCTTGCGGTGCTTACCCACTAGGATGTTGAGGTTGCGATCTTCCGTATCGAACTCAATCCTGCAGCACAGCACAGCACCAACACAAGACAAGACGACAAGACACCACATCATTGGCTGACACCCTCTCTCCCACTCGTGTCGTGTCACGTCAGCGCACCCGATTTTGCTGCCGACGCCCAACGTGAAGTCCTCGCCCGTCCAGTCCCGACCAATCGTCAAATCTGACCCGAACCAATCCAATCCACCAATTCAAGGAATAGGAAGCGACGCGGTTGTCTGGCTGGCTGGCCGGCTGGCCGGCTGTTTATGTGGGAACCTTACTTACCTTGTGCGAATAGGGTCTGGTCTTTGGTGAAGAAAAAGTATCCATGGCTCATCTCCAGGTTGGGTTTGGCGAGGTCCACGCCCTCGGGTGCGACGCCGATCATGAACCCACCTTGACGCGGCGGGGTCGCCAGCAGCACCTCCAGCTGCACACACACGTACACACACGCACACATACACGGAAGGAGAAGACGACGACATACGATGAGTGAGTGAGTGCATGGTTACGTTAGGTGCGTGCGTACCTACCCTATATTTCGAGTTGAATGGTGGCGAGAACTGCACCCCCCCGCAGTCGGTGAGGTGCCACCGGTGACAGTACCTGCTCGAGTACGACAGACTGTTGCCCTCGCAACGAACGTTCTCAGTTATCTGGTGAATGCTCCCCACATAACTCTACACAGACACACACACAGGGAACCAACCAGATGCATGCACTGGCAGGCACTTTCATCTGTGCAGTCAGTCCTCAAAAGTGCTCACCGGCATCGGCCGCACCGCTCTTTTGTAATGATCCCCTCCCTCGAGTGTTTCCTCGGTGGTCACCGTGTTGCTCCTCTTTTGCGGCAGGAAGGGCTCCTCCTCGTCAGGCACTCGAATGATCGCCTCGCTGGAAATCTCGGGCTCGGCCAGCAAACCCCTCGTGCAGCACGAGAACAGCGACACCTCGTCATCACCGTTGGCACACTGCGGCTGCGGGGTGGTCATGCAGGCCGAGAAGATAGAGCTCACAATCGGGTGCGGCCGCCTGTGTGTGGAATTGGAGGGCTTCTTGCAGCGGGGCGGGGGATGAGATCGATTCATCCGCTGCGTGCCCGTGCGAGGCGCACTGCCGGAGGACAGGGCGGCCACCTGCTTCCTGAGGGCGTCCCTCTCCTTGGCCATTCTGTCTCGTTCCTCAGTCACGCGGCTGAGCTGCTGCCGCAGAAGCGCTACATCATCGCCAGCCATGATGCTCAAAACAGCTTGAAGGGAAATTGGCCCCTGCCGCAGCTAAGCTCGCAGAGGAGACACTTAGGACATTGCGTGAAACCGCTCTCGGGACTCGCGAGCTGCGAGGTGTGACGTCTTTCGCGAATTCAGCTTCGTAGGTGTCCCTGGAATGGCATCTCGTGTCATCTTGAATCTTTCCCTAAGTTTCGTCATCGACTTCATGAATGCATCGGCGGATGAGTGGCGTAGTTACATGAGGACGAGATAACGCCGTTGCGGCTCTACGAGATGCGGCGCCTACCTCTGGCTTATCGCATCATCCCATTCCCGCCATGCCCAGCCTCTCAGCCGGCAGGCGTGATCTGTCGTCGTCATGCGGCAACGCTGCTCAGACCGCATTTCAGCACAACACGAATAGGGCCCGACTGTCCTTCTTGCCTGCCATGCAGTCATCGGTGTTTTAGCACGGCGCCTGCACAGGAGTCGGACCCGCCCCACCCCTCTCCCACCCACCCCCCTTTGAGCAGCCGTCGGCGCACCCACAAGCCCCACCCCGAGGTCCACCACAACCACAAGCCGCACCACGGCCACGTCACCCGTCCCCCCTCCCTCCGCCGCCACCACAAGTCGCCTCGCCGGAAGCTGTTGCTCCGGTTGATCCAGCCTCTCCCCCCGCTCAGCCCAGCACTCCTTTCGCCAACACAGCGTATGCGTCAGTCGATCAACCGGCTGCGCGAGCGTGTGGCGGCCATGTCCAAGGGCAGGGCAGGATGGCGGCTCAGGGTGCAGCTGCCTCTGGGTCTCAGGGCTCGTGCGCGTGCCCTCAGCCAGCGGTGGGTGGAGGGCCGGCGGAGGCTCGGGGTGGCCGTGCAGAAGCGGCGGGAGCAGCTCAAACGCATTCGCAAGAGAATCGCTGAGCGATCCAGAAAAGTATGTAGTAAGAGGATCAGATAGATGGATTTGCCAGCTGGAATGTGCTACCATCCATCCTTCTTGTCTGGATGTCATGTCTGTCGGTGTGTCATGCAGGCGGCCAAGGGGCTTCGTGGCATGTGGCGCAAGTACGGTTGGGTGGGTGTGGGCGTGTACTTTTCCATCTACTGGACGGTGCTGATGTCGCTCTACGCGGCGGTGTCGCAGGGCGGCATCACGGCCGAGCACCTGCAGTGGCTGCTCGACTACTTCCACCTCGACGACAAACTGGACACACACAAGCTCAAAAAGGGCGCCGACAGCTGGTGGGGCAAGTTCCTTTTCGCCTGGTTCCTCATGAAGTTCACAGAGCCGCCACGGATGCTCGCCACCATCGCCCTCACGCCACTGGTAGCACGGTGGCTGAGATTGAGACAGGCGAGGAGGGCGGGGGCGGCCCTCAAGACCGCTGCTAGTGCTAGTGGCAAGCAGAACGGGGGAAGGCACAAGTGACTGACGTGTGTGTAGGAGATGGGTGGGTGCCTGCCTGTGTTGTCGTGACTGACAAGTTTTGAAGTGTCGTGCGCGCAAAGTGTAAGTGTGTGTGCGCGTGTGTAGACTAGTGGATGGATGGATGAGTGTGGGATTCCTGCGTGTCGTGTCGATGTTGGTGTGTTGGTTGCATTTCATTTTGTAGTCCGGAATATTTGTACGTACACATCCATCCATTTCATTCGCCTCTGCTGAATGCCATGGGATGTGTGTGAGTGAATCGATACACACAATAAGACAGACACGTACGTACGGCAATTCAGCCCATGCACTCATACTGATGTGTAGTCTATATGGGTGGCCATTGGAAAACACGTTCGTTCATCGATCCGATCGACAAACCGAAGGCACTTGGCTGCCTGCCTTTTGTATGTCACCCAACACAACCAACACACCACGGTACACGCGCTGCACTCTCTCTAGCTCTCTCGTCACAAACGGAATCTCCTGACGCCCTCCGGCACGTCGTACCTGCCCGCCTGCTTCTTCACCGCCACCTCTTTCTTGGCCTCCTGCAGCCATCCCAGCCACACGCGGCACAAGCTGGATGGATGGATGGCCAGATTGGTGGCTCGGCTCATTCACCGACAGACCTTGAGAAGCACTTGGTTTTCCTTCTTCATCGTGCGCACCAGTTTCTTGGCGTCCTTGACAGCCTTCTTGCGCTCACTGCAAGCCAGGCACAGCACACACCCACACAAGTATCTATCTGTGCTGACTGACTTGCTGTCTGTGTGTTGGTTGCCTCCCTCACCGCCTCTCCTCGGCCGTCTCGCCCTTGCGTCTGGTCGTATTGACCTCTGGCAGCTGCAGCAGATCGCCCTCGGGGATGGGCGGCGGGGCGCCACGGGAGCCAGACGACGCACCCGTATAGTCCGCAGGCAGGTCACGACGACTGTACACACACACACACACGCACACCTCATTCGACAGTCGAGATGCATGCACCAGCAATGGGCATGTCCGATGGCTAACGTGTCGATGGGTATTTTCTTTGGCGGGTTTGCGGCGGTCGCGGCTGCCTTGGAGATCTTGTAGGGGTGGTTGTAGAGGTTGCTCTTGGTCGATAGGATCGTCTCACAATCCCTGATTTGTGTGAACAGGATGCCATCCACAGAACGTCCATCCATACTCATGCGCTGCGCTGTTCATCCGAGCACATCTCTCACACCATGTCCTCACCATTGCTCCTTCTCGACTTGCTCGCCAAACACCTGCAGCCAACCAGATAAGACAGACGACACTCATCGATGCAGGCAGGCCCTCGTGGCTGCCTCTCTCTCTTTCTGTGTCTGTGTCTGTGTCTGTGTGTGTTGCCATTCGTTAGTGACCTCGTCGTATGTGGGCGGCGGCTGCAACTCCATCTCCTCCGCCCTCGCCAGGACCCTCTCCTTGTCAAGCGGCACATCCTCCCCGCTTTCATCGGATAAGGAGGAGGAGGCATCATCGTCCTCTGAGCTGTCGCTCTCATGGCCAGGGTCCTGGTCGCTCTTCCCTGTGTTTAGCACGGTCGTTGCCTGCGCTGCTGCTCCTGCCGCTGCTGCTGCATCAACACGTGTTTTCTCCTCTGCAGTCAGACACACACACAGACGTCATGTGTGGACATCTAGGAGGGATGTGTGTGGTGTGTGTGTCTTTCCTTCGTCCTTTCATTCTTTCTCACTTTTCTGTTTGTCAAGGAATTCGTCCAGGAGGTCGTCATACTGCTCGATGCGGCCCCGGGCTTCGTGCAGCCGCGCGTCGTCCTCATCAAGCTGGAACGATCAAACACACGCAGAGAGAGCAGCGATCGATGCGCGTCAGTGTCAGGCCTCCCTCCCTCTGTCGGTGCGTGTGTACCTCCCCGATTTCATCTTCGTTGTACTCCTCCTCCATGATCTTGTCAAACCTCTCGTCAAGGCCGTCCACAACCCTGAACACAGCACAGCACACACATGAATGCAATCTATCCATCCTCTCTGTCTGTTGCCATCTATCCATCCATTCAGCCATCAATGACCGACCTGTTGCGCCTGGTCGTTCCCGACATCATTGAACCGGTCTCCGATCGGCCGTCTGTGTGTGGTGGTGCCGATGCTGCTGCTGCTGCTGGACCCCCCCTGCCGTCTTGTGCGCCATGTGTGCCGTCCATGAGTCCCTTCCACTGCAGATAGGCCTCCAGGTCAGGCCGGCCGGTCTTCTTGGGCGCCCACCCGCCCCACAGCAAGTCGGACTCGTCCACCTGACACGCAAGCAGCACACATATCTGTCCGAACGTCCGTCGTGCCGTGTGTAGGTGCCTGCGTACCTCTGGTTGGTCGTGTGCAAGTTGGTCGAAGAAGTCGTCGGTGATGTCATCGAAAACCTCGGGCTCCTCCAGCGCACGCTGCACCTCACGCTCTGCAAACATACACACACAGCCCAGACATACGCCAACATCTTTGTACGTCTGTCACGTCACGTGGGTGACGATGTCTATGTGTGTCTGTCTGCCTCATAGATCTCACTGACTGACCCACTTACCGTCTTTGTTCATGAGTTGAGGGTTGCGGTCGTATCGTGGGTCATAGTGCGACCCCTCCAGGCTCGCCACATACACACCACCAGCACCCCCGATGGGCTTGAGGTGCTGGTTGTAGTCGTAGCCGTCCTTGGGGAAGTAGCACTCGCCAACCTGCATGGCATGGACCCAAGAAACCAACCATCCACCACATCCAGCCAGCCAGCCAGGTTAGTGTGGATATATGTGCGTGCGAGTCAGTCAGCGTCTGCGCGTGCCACTCACCAGCTCTGCCTCCGGTTCGTCCGTTGACGGTGGTGCAGCCACTGCAGCAGCAGCAGCAGCGGCTGGTTGAGCAGGAGAGGCCGGCTCCTCCAAGCCACCTTCATCCCCTTCCAACTCCTCGTCCTCATCGTCGTCATCATCGTCGATGTCCTCCCACTCATCCGCCGCCTCCTCGCCGCCCAGCGCCAGCCGTCGGGCGGTCGCCTCCAGCTCCTGCACCTGACCCATCAAACATGCATGACACACAGGGAAGGAGGGGAGGAATCTACCTACTGAGCTGAGTCGAGTGGCGTGCCTGCCTGCCTGCCCGCCTTGTGTGCTCACCTCGTCTTCCCACTCGTCGTCTTGGCGCAGGCTGGAAAGGGCCTCGGACGGGATGTGGGCACGCTGAAGAGACTCATCAGCCGCACCATCAGTGCCCTGAGCACGCACGCCCATCACGACGTACGCTGTGTGGCTTGGCAAGCCTTTGGCGCAAACAAACTGATTGTGTTGTGCGTGTGTGTTGGTACCTACCGGTTTGTTGGTGATGTGTTTGAGTACGAATTTGGATGCGTGCGGGTCGTCGATGAGTGCATCGTGCTGCGACCGGTGCACCACCTGGAAGTGGAGCGCGTTCTTCTTGTCAAACTTCTTCTTCACCTGCACACAACACACCAGCGATCAGATGGCCGCAGACAGACACCGTCCAGTCGTCGGACGAAAGATGGGTCATGTATATCTATCGTACCATTTTGAAATCCGGCCGTCAGGTATCCATCCTCAGGATCTCCGATTGAATTAGTCACCCTTTCGAAGCTCGCATGGGGGGCCTAGGACATTACGTGAAACTGCTCGTCGGAGGGAGGGAAGGGAAGGAACGAGATTCGGTGCTTTTGTTCGTCGAGCTGTTTGGATCTATCTATCCGATGGGATACAAAGGGCTTCTTCGTCGCGCTGCGTGGCCCCTCGTTCACCAGGAAATGGTTGCGTATTTCCGGCAACGGCCGCCCCGCGACTCGACGGTGAATCTGGAGGTCAAGGAATGGCCAGCCTTTGCATCAAAAGAAGACATCGTCGCAGATGGGCATGTGCCAGGTGTGTGTGTGGGTGTGTAGAGATGCAGGTTTGCATCATTGTGTCGCGTTTCTTGTGTTAACTGCGGATCTCGGCAGCTGTGGTATGGAAGTACGGTCCCGACCGTCGCGTGTGTCTGCCGGAGAAAGAAATCCTCGAGCTGGCTTTTGACGAACCCGACGGTCATCTCTCCCACCGTAAGCTCACTCATGTGCCGTGCACTCATTCGTGTCGTTGGTTGGTTATTGTGTGTCGTGGATGCATGGATGTCTGTCTGTGTGTCAGTGTTTTCTGGGCGCCTGTATAGATTGCATGTTGGTCAGTGGATCGAAGAGTGCATCGTCCAGCACGTGCAGGCGGACCCACGTACGTTAAGCCGACCGGCATGGGGCATTCATCCTCTGCCTTGTGTTGTGCATCCATCGTCGTTTCTGTTCCTCTCTGTCTGTTTGCGCTGCAGTGGACAAACACTTGTACTTCGTTAAGTTCCAGCGTCACGTGCCCGGCCGCATGACGCAGGTGTCCATTCCTGTGAGTCTGATTGGCCTGCTCGGCTGCCCGGCCTACTTGAAAGGTAGGTCACATACACACACGGATCTGCATGATCTGGGAAGCACACGAGTCAGTCCAGTGCACTGCCACCTCTTCTCTTTATTGTGTGCCGCTGGTTGGTTGGTCGTGTGTGTATATGGATTGATTGATCAGGGTATCACGTCGAGTTGGTCATGCCGACCGTTGAGTGTGAGGTGGTGGGCGATCACATCCCGCCGCCGTTCCTCTTGGACGTGTCGAAGCTGCACTTCAAGAGCCCTTACAGTGCTATCACTCTCAGAGACATGCTGGTACGTACGCTGGCAGAAAGAGAAACACACCCACCTGTTGGTTGATGTATGTGATTAGCGTCTGTTTGTCGCCTGTTATCAGCCTCTGCTGCCCTCTGACGGCACCGTCCGCTTTTCTCGAAAGTACGACCTCGACAGAGCAGAGGTCTGCTGGACCTATGAAGTCGGCAAGGTGCGCAATGCATAGCTGACAGGCAACACACACACACACACGCAGAGAAGGGGTCCACTCACATGTCTGCCTATTTATTGTATTGATGCGGCAGATCCCGGAGGTGCCTTTGCCGAAGGACTGGAGGGATCCCAACTTCATCGACAGGAAGGGCAAGCTCATGAGATTGACGTACCGCAACTTTTGGCCGTCGCAGGGCCAGGAGAGATAGACGAGTGCGGTGGTGTGTGGGGGGTGGGGTGGGGCGGTGGAGGAGACAATCGGCGACACATTATGTATGTCGTCCAGATCTCGTTTACGTGTTTGATGGGGCTCGGGGGTGAGAAGCAGCATGCGCTTCGGGTATGTGAATGAATGCATGAATGAATGAATGACACGGATGAATGAGTGCGGTCTGATCTTCCGTGCTGTTGGTGGCTGTCTGGATGAAGTGTCCATGATGACTGTCGTGCTGAGATCATCCATCGACGAAGCGATTAATTACAGCTAATCCTCTCAACACGGGCCCTCGACGAAGTGTGAGTTGGGGTAGGTCCCCGTGTAATATGCTTGCATATGCTGGGAAGCGCAGCCACACTCATCTTCCTTCAGAAGTAGAGGGCTCCACATGTACATCATCAGCTGGAATGTGGTGAGCAGCGACAAACAAGGCAGGCAGGCAGGCAGGCAGATCTCCGACGAACAAGGCAGGAAGGCAGGCAGGCGATGCTTACGACACTTGTCGTTGTGGATCTTGCATGCGTGGAGGCCGGTTGGGCGACCACCTTTTCACTCATCAAGCAGCACTACGGCAGCCTGACCGACTTCCTTGCCAAGCACAGTGTGGACATCTTCTGTATCCAGGAGGCGAAGGCCACCGTAGAGAAGCTCAAGACCGAGCCGAAGAGCTATGCGGCCAACGAGGAGGGATACGACACATTCTGGGCGTGGTCAGCTGCTCACTGCATCCACCATTTCCATGTGCTGCGAGGGTGCGCACACGTCTGTATGTGCGTGTTGCGGTGTTTGTTTGCAGCTGCAAGGGCAATGCCAAGCGCGGGCTGATGGGTTACTCCGGGTGTGCGACCTTCGCAAAGAAGGGCCTCACTCTTCGGGCGGACAGCGAGCCATTCGCTGACGCAGAGCTCAACGCAGAGGGAAGGTATGTATCCACAAAGGCAGGCACGAACAGGCAGATCGGTGTGTGTAGGCCTGTGTGTGGTTCTTTCGGTTCCAGGGTGTTGGTGACGGAGCATCAGCACTTCATCATCATCAACAGTAAGCATGTCCTTCCTTCACCACTCACTTCGCCCCACCCACCTCCCTCGTCTGTGGCCTCGTCTTCCCCTCAGTCTACGCGCCGACGAGCGGCAAGGCCTACGATCGCCTTCCCCACAAGCTGCGTTTCTTCAATGCGCTCCGCGACCACATGAACCACCTCCGCCGCACCACAGGCAAGCCCATCATCCTCCTAGGCGACCTCAACATCGCATTCGGGCCGCGCGACGTGACGCCCAAAGACCGTATCATCGACCTCACTACCCTGAGTGAGTCGCGAGAAGCAGCCAGAAGGCCCCCCACATGAGATCTCCCTCTGTGTGTCTGCCTGTCTGCTCAGGAAGATGCTGTTCGATCTCAAGAAGTCGGCCATGCCGTCAAAGGCCCTAGCAAAGCTTTTCTGACCTCTTGATGAAGGTGCGATTCTGAGCTGGAGAGGCCTGTATGTTATTTACTTCAACTACTTCCGGGCGATACCTTTTGAGCAACTTCGGATTCTTCTCATCACCCACACACACAACGCCATTCCCTCTGCTTGGTAAGCCCTGATAGCCCATAGTCACATTATCTTGCACACACGCCCTCAGATTCTGGCCTGCACCTTCTTTCTACGCGTCCTGCTCTCACTGAGTGCGGCCCCCAGTCTCCCTCTCTCTCAGCGACCATGAGTGGAGCGCTCAGATCCGCATCGGCCTGGACCACTGTGTCGTCTCCGACCCCCAGCTCGCAGACGAGGACTGCGACCGCCCCAACGGCCTCCTCGCCTTCCCTCCCAACTCAATCTCTGTCGGCCACTTTGCCGACTGTTGCCGGGCGCTTGGCGAGCCGCTCAGTGCTGGCGATGTGGATCGCTTAGCTGAGGCCGGTCAGACGTACTACAGCGCGTGTCTGCGGCGGTGGATGTCGCGGGTGATGGAGGAGGACCGCATGGTGGACTCGTTTGTGGAGTTCTTCCCCAATGCCAGAGGACAATTCACGTCGTGGGAGCAGTACACCAACGGCAGATACGTCAACGAGGTGGGTGGTTGGGTGGACACATGGACGTGTGTGGGTGTGTGGGTGTGGGGGTGGCTGGGTTTGGACGCGACACGCATGGCATGGGATGTGTGGTGTGGTCGATCTCGGGTGTGTGCAGGGTGCTCGGCTGGACTATATCCTGGTGGACGAGGCCCTGTTTCGCTCGCACGCTGTGCGGGGTCCGCTCCCGCCCGACTGCACCGAAGACACATTCGACGCGCCTGAGACCGCCCTGCAACTCGCCACGGCGAATGGTTGCAGACATACGGCCGGCCACACGTGTCTGTCTGTCCGTGTCTGTCTTATCTATCCTTCCTCACTCAGGCCGATTCACTCCCGCCCTCATGGATGGGGGCGGGCTGATCGATGCCTCCCAGCCGGTATACGACACGCAGTTCCTCCCCCCTCACACCGGCATGTGCTACACGCCCCCCAAGTTCAGCGACCACATCGCCGTCACCCTCTGCCTCGACAACACGCCCCACACACCCGCCGGCCACCACATCGACTTCGGTCAGCGCGTGGCCGTCGACATGAAGGACACCAAGACCACCAGGTCGCAGCCACACAGAGGGTGGAAGGGCATCCAGAGCTTCTTCCAACCGGCACCCAAACCGACCCCTGCGGCCAACAACCAAAGCAGCTCTGCAGCACCAGCACCAGCACCAGCTGCAGCGAACAACGGCAACAAGAACAATGGCAGCAGCAGTGGTGCGATCGACTTGACGGCCGGTGACGATGCGAATGGTACGGGGGCTCCCGTGAGGCAGCCAACGCAGCAGCAGCAGCAGCAGCAGCAGAGTGGGCGTGGCAGTGCGAGTCGAGGCGGG